CAAGAAACAACTGGCCCAAATCGGTACATTATCTCAAATATAAATTGTCATTTTATTGGGCATTTGCATTAATACTAGAGCTAACATATATGCCTTATTTTCACCGACAGTATAAGAAACCCAAGGCGTGGTATATTATATGTTCCCACTTCTAGCGTCGTGATTCATTCCTTTGCGTTCTTATCTCATCGGCTGCAGAGCGGCATTATTATGGTCGTCACTCGTCACTCCCTACATTTCTTAAGCTGACTTTAACTGTTTTACAATATAGATAAACAATCAGCAATAAGAAATAAACAGGGCAGACGCAACTGCTCTTGATTTTCATGAACATAGTTTCATGTTCACAACACGTTCAGCCCATGTGCTACTTCCCTTCCACTCGATTCCGATGGTGCTGTTGAACGTATACTTATATATCGCCTAGTAATGACGAATTCGTGTCATTGCAAATCATTTTATCTAGATGTATAACATTTGACTCAAATATATCCAACTCGATTATCAAAACAATTTTAATAGATTCAATTAATTTTACTTTTAACCGTGATAGTTCACCCCTTTAATGTCAGCACCACCAAACAATTGTATACATAAAACTGGCGCCCAAGATACATAAATTTAGCACCGCTAAATTTAGCGTTTTGCTAAATTTAGCGGTGCCATTTTTCCGTTAAATTTAGCGAGAAAATTTTACCCTCGTCAGATCACACGTGACGTCACGTGTGACGTCACGTGAATTAATGTGACGTCACGTAAAATATAGCGAAAAATTTCTTCCGCTAAATTTTGCGGGGAAATTGACGTCACGTGACCTCAACACCAATCCAGTTTCCCGCTAAATTTAGCGAAAAAAGTTTCGCTAAATTTCCCGGTAAATTCAGCGGGACAATGTTAGTAAATTTCCAACGAAGGTGGAGGGGAGCCGGAGAGGAGGAGGGAACGTACGGAGGGGGAGAGAAAATACCCTCTCCTCCGTACCCCCCTCCTCCTCAAGAGCGGCGCTCTAATTCGGCATTAGAGAGAATTGTAAACGTCTCTCATTTTTTTTAATATAGAATTAGTTTTTGGCAGCGATAACTCTTTGGCGAAGATAAGCGAGACGCGAGAGAGAGAGTGACAGAAGCAAGATGCACGAAAATTACGACCTATTGTTCTGGACAACTTAAGAAACGCAGGGAGTGGCGAGTCCCGGGCATCTCATTATTGGTCCGCAGCCAATCAGATTCCGGCATTAGCCGACAAGAACGCCGAAGAACCAATCACGAGGCAACAAGCCGCAGGAACATAATGACCCATGTCCTGCGTTTCTAAGTTGTCGGCGACTGTTGACACCGTTGAGTAGAATTACCCACGAAGCGAGTTTCCCTTGCGGTGGCGCCTGGCCCCCCATCAGCTGGTGTAAGAGATCATGTAACCTTAACGACGACCAATGGCGTTGTTGTCTAAAATCGCATTTTAGTCTCGGGACACAAACGTCTGCGCCGAGATTGATCTCCCCCCCCCCCCTTCCCCCCCGCCTAAAAAATTAAATTATTCTGCATAGACGAGTGTGTAAGGTATGATCACTCTGCTGCTGGGGGGGGGGGGGGGGGGGGGGGCAATTATCTTACGCGTTTAGCAATACTCTGAGCAAAGGCAACTATCGTATTCTAACGTACCGTATAAAAACACGACAGAATCGGTAGAGAATTCGATAAAATTTAACCAGGCTTTTTTTTTTTTGTGTGTGTGGGGGGGGGGCCTACATAAATAAAGTACGCATCCCAGAAAGCTGAAACTCTGTAAGAACTTGACGCTAGCGGTAATTATAGAATTCGAAAGTTTGAGAACATGACTTCGCCTGGATTGAAAGATGCGAGTGAAAAGCAAAAGTTTTACATGAGCCGACGTCCATATAAGCCTAATATTAATCAAACCATACACTCTCGGAGATGGGGGGTGTAGAAAGATACACCCCTTTTTTAATATGTATCACCCCAAAACTACATTTCGACGTAGTGTCCACCGACGTCGAACTGGCGATACCAACTTTTACGAGCGGCTTGATAGTCGAGCGATAAAACTTATTACAATAGCTAATCTACTCATTAAACACCACAGTAAAACAATAAAGCTTTTTTTTCGCTGCGACAAAACTTTAGAGTTTTTGTTTTCTAGCCCTTGATACGCACATTAGCTATTTAGTACGTTATATCCAACAGCTATCAAGCCGCTCATTAAAGTTGATATCGCCAGCTTGTCAGCGGACAGAACGTCGAAATGTAGTTGTGGGATGTTACATATGGGACAAGGGGTGTAACTCTATGCACCCCTTATTTCTAAGAGTGTATGAAGAAATGGGGGGAGCCTGTGTCCTTTCCGTGCAAAAAACTTGTCAAGAGAATGCGATTTGCTCGGATCGCATTTTCACGGAGAATCGTATTCTCAACATTGCCATTCGCTGTTGTTTATGCAGAACGCTATGATTTGCTGTAATATGTGTGTTCTGCAGGAAAGTAGACGCAAGGGCCTTGTTCAGAAGAACTGCGGCTATTACTCGAGCAAACGCGGTATTGAGCCTATAGGTGGACGTCGGCTCGTAGAAATGGTTTGTTTTTCTGTCGTATCTTTTTGTCCGTGTGTGGGCATGTTTTCAAACCTTTTCGCATTTTCTGACCCCTGCTAGCGTCACATTCTAATCAATTTGCAAGTTTCTCAGATACGTAGTTTACTTATGCGGGCCAAAAAACCGGTTTCATTTTCTCGATGGGACTCGGTATAATGAACACATTGGTTTTAATGATAACCCTTACGCTTTTCTAATTAATGTAAAAATATATATAATAACTTCCGGATTAAAGAAATATGACTAAATAATGTTTAGATAGATGTTGACGACGCGCACCGTACGTCCCACCGTAGGACGTTTTCTAATACTCAAGCGAGACAACTAACCCTAATAGCGTGTTTCAATAGTTTTAAGTTTGGCTACTGGGTGCATATTAATAGCAAGGGAAAACAGCGCAGAAAAAAGACACAGGACGAAAACACAAAAGACAAACACAGGGCTGTCTTTGTGTTTAGTTTTCTTTTCCTGTGTCTTTTTTGCGCTCTTTCCTTACGCTACCAATAGCACGCTGATTTTGGCGAGTTGTTTTCTCGGTCAGACAACTCTACCTCGCTCAGACAACTAACCCGAACTAGCTTTACTGCTTCAAGGTGCGTGTCTAACTTGTGCAGTGATAACTCGTTTTGAAGCTTCTTCCAGCATTTATTGTAATTAGCTTTCTTATGATCGTTAAAGTTTTTTAAAGTTTGATGAATGCTCGAAAACTAGCAAACACTTCAGGAGCGTCTTATTTCGCAAACGTATCTCGTGCTAAGGGAACATTACTCTTACCGCTAATCGAGTTTCCGACGGCACTCTTGCACGCCGTGGCCTTAAATAACTTATGTTTACCTCACTCCCACTTGCCTTGGTTTAGAGGGTCATTACCGAACCGACTCATATGAAAATAAAAACACACGTAAGCGTTTGGAAGATATCTTTGACACCCTACGTTTAAGTATATGTTTGGTTCTTGGCTAGGGACCGACAAACAGATCATCGATCACTATGATTTGTGCAGAATAGACCTATTGAAAAATTACCCAAGCATCAAGGAGAATGCAGAGATTTGTGTTCCACGCGCCGCATGTGCTGGCCTCAGCAGTAGTAACGTTTCTAAAGCAAATGCCTAAACCAAATTGCATCTTGCACGCGCGTTCGTCAACCCTTTATTTTGGTTATTTACTTCTAATCTTTTTATACGGGGAAGGTGTGCACCTGTGGCGCGTGTAACACCAATCCCTGCATTCTCCTTGATGCTTGGGTAATATAGCGATAGGTCTACTATGGCGTATCTTTCCAACGTCCAGCCTCCAGTACGCGCGCCAGGCCTTCCGTGTGCTCTGGCTGCTGCGCGCGAGGTCGTGGTGCACGAGCCACCGAAGCGTTGTCGAAGGTGCTCACGTCGGAAGCGGGACAACGTCGTTCTAACCTTGTCAGTGACTCTATGGTGTCTATATTTACAATGTGAGAAGGCTCATTACTAGCGCCACCTGCCGACATCTTGTTGTTCACAAAGCCAAGCCTGGCCCAACCAGGGGTCTCCAGACGACGCTCCCGCCATAACCGCCGTATGAATTTGCCATCGTTATTAAACCCTTTAAGTAACGTTTAACCCTGCCTCTGTCATCAGTACCCTCACAACATGTAGAACGCAGTTTAAAGCAGGAGACTCCATCGACGTGCGTCACGTGCTTTCCTCAAGTCGAGTGCATGTGTGCAACAAAGACGTGAACATTATGTGTGCAGCGAAGACATGCACGCCCAACGCAGCTTCAAAACTTTCCCGAAGGTTTAACACATCCACACAGCGTCGAGGCGTCGATTCTTGATCGGTATTTGAGCGTGCGAAGGCACAGAGACGCAGCACTCGTGCCAAAGCATGTCCTTTGATCACGCCGCCTGACCGTGAGGTTTGCGTTTGACGAGTTGTGCCTTTCTCATGCGGCGCTGTGCTTTCGTAAAAAATGTCCACTGGTTCTCATAGGCAGCTACGACAGTTTACACAAGGTTTAAAAAACTTCTTCGGCGAATGACGGCGAACGAGCAGAAAATGTGTATATCAGCACGCACCCGCCTATTTTCTGCAACGCTTCGACCGGGAGTATTACATACGCCCAAGATGGCCGTCCGGTGGCCGCATTCGCGGAGTGGGAAAGCGCGGTCCAGCAAATTGTCATAGAGATCAGTGGAATAGGACCAATTGGTCACTCAGGGTGCTGTGTTTAGAGATGTATTTATAGTGATAAGGAATGAATATATCTTCTAGCTTCAGTGATTAAAAAAAATAATCGGGTTTTAATCAAATTAATCTGAATTATCTAATTTAAAAAATTAGTTTTTTTTTTTTTTTTTTTTATTTTGTGCCAAACTGAAGGTTTCCTAACCTTTCCGGACTTCTGTTGCGCAGCCACAACTACATGTCGAGCATGGAGAGAGAGGACGACGGGTCCCCGAGCACGGAGTGGACGTCGCCGGAGACGCAGACCACGGAGCCGCCATCTGTGGCGAGCATGCCCAGACTGGCCTTCTTGGACAAGATCCTTGAACAGTACGACAAGAGGGCTTGGCCCACCTATGGCCTCGGTATGTCGGTAGATTCTTCACCTTTGCAGCACACTTCCAAGATGGTTGAACATCTGGGCCCGTTTGTGCTCCCTTGTTATACCCCTGTTACACGGGCACACTTAACTGCAGTTACGCTAAACCACAATTAGCGCACAATACTTGCCGACAACATTCTGCGGCGATGCATTCAGAGCTATGGGCGAACGTGCGCTTGAGCATCTTGAGCACCCATCAAAGCAGTGCACGCGCTCTCTTCACTTCTTTTGAAATAGCTGTCCGAGGGTATAGTGCGGCATCTGTGCTGCCACGTAACCGCAGTTAAAGCTGAGTTAACCGCGGTTAAGTGTGCCCGTGTAACAGGGGTATTACACGGGCACACTTAACTGCGGTTACGCTAAACCACAATTAGCGCACAATACTTGCCGACAACATTCTGCGGCGATGCAGTCAGAGCTATGGGCGAACGTGCGCTTGAGCATCTTGAGCACCCATCAAAGCAGTGCACGCGCTCTCTTCACTTCTTTTGAAATAGCTCTCCGAGCGTATAGTGCGGCATCTGTGCTGCCACGTAACCGCAGTTAAAGCTGAGTTAACCGCGGTTAAGTGTGCCCGTGTATAACTTTAACCGCGGGGTATAACTTTAACCGCGGTTAAAAGCTAACCGCCCTTCCCTGCTAGGTACCTACAAATACCTAGCCAAGTTTGACGAGGGCTGGATGAGCGATAGCTCCGTGTTTTACTATGGGGTGGTAGCTGGTGTCACCTACGTGCTGTAGCGAATATACGTGGCTTCCGTGGAATGGTTCCCGAAATGGGGGGACGCAAAAAATGCGCGCTGCGTGGTTTTCGCGACGCAGCCCGGCATACATTTAAACATAAGAAACAATTTTTATTGCTCATGATACAAATAATCGGCAAGGTGAAACTAAATTAACCCTTGTTTTAAAATTTTCTAAATATTTGGCTGTATAAAGTGAAGAAAAGCCTCGTTGAAATTTCCTTGCGAGTTCGAAAGAGGACGACGAAGTTGAGTCCTAGAAACGATGAGAAAGAAGTGAGCAGTGAAAGGCGGGCGGTACACCGGCAGCATGGTTGGCCCGCATGTAAGAACTGTATGTAACACCGTCATAAATTGAAAAACCTGTAACTCGGCTCCACTTAAAATTCACCTATATGGAGTATTCACTGGACGCCATATTTGTGGGTGCTATTTAGAGCGCATGCTCAGAACGAGCTCACATCAATAGGCTGCTAAGACCGGCACTCTTGACGGTGCGGAATGCACGTTGCAAAAGAACTGTGGAAGCTCGCAGTCAGCACGCGCTCAGCATTCGCGCACACAGCTCTGGCCGCCAGTGAATACTCCCTATTAGTAAATTACCCGAACATCGATAAGAACGCTGGAAGTGTAATTCTACGATCCGCGCGTGCTGGCCTTCCACTTATAAAAGATTTGAAGTAAATAATCATAATAAATTTTTGACGAACGCGCGTGCACGGCCAAATTTGGTTTAGGCTTTTTGCTTCAGAACGGTTATTACTGCAGACGCCAGCACGTGCAGCGCGTGTGACTGCACTCGTAGCATGCACCTCGGTGCTTTTGAAATTTAGCAAAAGGTCTATGGGAACGCTGTCTGCTTTTTTGTGTTGTCAATACCCGGCCGATTGAGTTAAGGCAATCCACTTTCCAAAGAGGTTGCCATGCCGACAACTATCGCGTTCATTTAGGCTTAATTAATGGCCAGAGTCGAAAGGCTATCTAAAAAATGCGGCGAGGTCATTGCTCATGTTTTGCGTTTTAAGGGAGGAAAGGCAACGCGAAAACCTCTTGCACCATTCATTGCTGACTAACGCGCCCGCTGCTGCAGCTACTACGACGTATTAGTTCCAAAGCGAGCGGCGCTCACTCACCGGGGCACCGCCATGTTTCCCCGCCGTCCTTAGTCTGTCGGTCACGTGACCGAAAATTCCCCCTCGTAGGGAAATCCGGTTAACCGCGGTTAGTTAACCAGCTTCGAGCAAACGGGCCCTGTTCATCCAAGTGTGTTGCAACATTAGGCCTGGTTCAGACAGTTACCTTGGTTGCGTTCAGAAGAACCGTAACGACAGTAATGCTTGTTCGACCTCATGCGCCGGTGCAGAAAAGTGTAGGGCAGTGTACTTGCAGGGGGGCTATGTTGCGCTTTTTGGACTCCCAGGAGACTAGGGAGAGGGAAGTGACGTCAACGACACAGCAAACGCAGATTGGGTGTTGATTTCGTTTTCTTCTGTCAACATCCAATCTGCGTTTGCTCTCGTCGTTGACGTCACTTCCCTCTTCCAAGTCTCCTGGGAGTCCAAAAAGCGCAACATAGCCCCCCTGTATGGGTATTGAGATAGGACCGGAAGTACACCGCCCTACACTTTACTGCACCGATGCAGGAGGTGCAGGCAAATCAAACGCACCTAGTTACAAGAGACAAACCGGGACAACTGGAACGTGTCAAACAATTCAAGATGTGGCTTTGCGAAGGAATCACGATTGACGGCTGTCCCACTGTTCCGGTCGTTGCTGTCGTTTTGGCCGCGGCGATCGCAACTGTCGTAAAGGTGTGAACCCGCCTTTGGATTTACAGGCGAAACTCGGCCACAAAAAGCAGAACAACTGTGCCTGTGCTTCTGGTAGAGTACTGCACACTGGCAGACGCGAAGCACCATTGACTATTAAGGTGCAACCCCAACCTTGGTTAGTGTGATTCTGAACCAACAGATGGCGGTGGGATTGCATTCCAGGTTTGTTCATCAATGCGAAAAATCGTGTGTGGTGGCGCTTCCATACAGTGGGGTATTCTTCCATATCCTGAATTTGACATCCCCGGTCCCTTGCTTGTTTTTCTCTGCACGAGCTTTCTTTAGAACGCGCACGGCTGCGCCAGTTCTCGTGCAAGGGGGCCAGTGGCCTATACGCTGCGAGCTCACGTCTCTAGCAAATGTGGGCAGAACAATACGCGAAAATCGCCCTGAGTCAAATGGCGAGACGCATGCACAACAAAACCACCGATGCGTTGAAAAATATAAAATTGCCTGTGCGCCGTAATCGGAGATTTCAGAAGCCAATTATGCATAATTCAATGGGATCAGACATATATTGACACGAATGAAGGTGACGAGAGAACGAACAGTGAACTGAAAAATAAAAAGATTAATCGGCGAACTTGTGCCAAACAAAAAAAAAAAACGTAAAGAGCGTCGCGGCAGCAGAAAAGCAGGCGGCGATTCGGCAGCGTAATGGCTCGTTCACACTTGCGAAATACGCACTCCCCGCCGCCGACTGGATTCGCTCGCCGAAAGAAGATCGGGCCGTTCATATTCGTTGCTAGGGGTGTCGCGAACTTTTGTCGAACCGGATTTTTAGGTCGAACTTTCGTGGTTCGACCTTCAAAACTTTTCACCAGATTCGACCGGTTCGACTTTGCGGACAGTGTGGCCGGACTTTGATAGACGCATGTCTAGGTTTGGAGAATTTATTTTTATGCAAAGGGTTATTTTATTTTATGAACAGTTGGAATTAAAAGAAACCACTTCTAATCATTGAAGACGTTAATACGTCTTCAATGATTTTCAAAAATATTTTTTTGTCATTGTGTTCTGCATGGGTATTACATTGTCTACTGTTTTTTGTACTCACTCCTATCATAGTCCCCACTGGGGGACTGATAGTATTATGAAATAAATAAATAAATAAATAACTTAATTTTTGTTGTACTGTATTAACTGAAATAACCAATCAGCGGTGCCTTTAATTCATCCCTTAGCCATTACCATCCAATCCGAAGCCAACTGGCCAGCCTGTCGCGCATGCGCACACGAGTCGAACCTCAATACGAGGTTCGTCGAAATTTCTACGAAAAGGTCGAAAACGTCGAACCTGGTCGAACTCGAACCTCGGCCGGTTCGCGACACCCCTATTCGTTGCCGTCTGCGGAGTGCGCGGCGTTAGCGTCTCGCAGTTTCCCGAACAGACAAGAGTTGACGAGAGCTACCAAACCTCCTCCTCGCCCGCGCGCGTCTCATCGCCATCGTCACCAGCTCGTCAGCGGGGATCTGACGTCAGCAAGCGCAACTTCCCCCGTGCGTTCTGATTGGCTTGCGGCGAGAGAAACCTTTTTTTTTTTTTTTTTTTTTCCGGCGTTCAAAATTGGTTTTCCCCAGAGCGATCTTGCTCTCCGCCGTAAATTCTGCCTGCTTTCGTCGCCGGGCGTTAAGCCTGGTTCACATGCAGCGGTTTTGGCCCTAGAGCGGCGCGATTTCTGCCGTCGCGGCGCTCTGGCCAGCACCAGCAATTGAGCGGCACGAGCGCCGTGACGGCAGAAATCGCGCCGCTCTAGGGCCAAAATCGCTGCATGTGAAACACGCTTCAGAGTTCTCGCGGATCCGGCCGCCGGTTCCCAAGTGTGAACGAGGCATAACAGAGAGCGAGACTTTTACTCAGACATGTACAAGTTACTCAAACAAAGTATTTAAGTTAAGTTACTGAGTATTGACGTCAAATGTAATTTGAGTAGAGTAGAAATTACTCAAATAGAAAGTAATTGAGAAAATTACTAATTACCGTAAAAAAGTAGCGAACTACTTTTGAAGTTACTTTTAAAGTTACTTTTATATGTCTTTTATAATAAAAAGAAACTACAGAGGTTTTGATCCTTTAGCTAAATTGTGCTAGCCAAATATGAATCGACTTGTTTTTTTCACAGAAATGCTTTAATAGCTGGTTCTGCTTCTTGTGCCTAATTGTTTTGTACTTTCTGGTTTGTTTGGTCAACGATGTACTGCGAATGTGTCATTTCTACTTCAAGGTTGAGCGCTGTCTGAGCTTGACTTTTTAGGCAGTGATTCCTTCTTTACAGTGTTGCGTGAAGTACATATAAAATGTACTTGAAGTAATGTACAAAGTCAATTAGAGGTTAGGTACTTCAAGTAAAGTAGTAAGTACACCGGGTGCAATGCATTTGAAGTAACGTAACGTATAAATAATAAAT